CCGTATCCTAGAGGACCATGTTGTTGAGGGGGCTAAAGATAATTTTGTTGAGGTGGGTAAGGATAGCTCTGGCTATCAGTGCTATAGGATGGATAAGGGTGATATAGATAACTATAACTACTATCAAATGAATCAAGTTGTTATTCTCTACTTCTTATTCTTCTTTCATCCCTACGTGTATCACTACCACGAAACCTCCTAGGTAGTTGGGGTAAAGGTGCAACAGGTTCTCTAATATTATAATGTTCCCCAACATCACATAATCCAAATCCTTCAATAAAATCTTCACTTCCTGCACCAAAACTAGTACCATCACCGCCATCACCGTCATTGTCACCGCTACCACCACCACCGTCATCGTGAGAAGTGCCTTCATCATCACCATCATCACCTCGTCCATCAGATGGTGTTAAACCACCACTATTATTACTTTGAGTTGGAGTAGGAGTTGAGCTTTGAGAAGTGCGTCGAGCTTGATATCTATGGGTGCCATCACCATCATTTCCATTGCTGCCATCGCCGTCATCGTCATTGCTGTCATTGCCACCACCACCATCATCATCTGAGACCAAATCTAACCATTCAAAATTATCCACACCATCCAGTAAAGGATTTTCCCTTTCTTCTATCCATGGACTTATTGGATCATCTTTTTCAAATATGTAATCCAAGTTAATAGGATTAAAACTCCTATCAATCTCCTCTTGGCTGCTTCTTTTAACGTGTCTCAATTTTAATCTCATGTTGTAGGTGATGAAGATTAATCTTTGAATTTTCTTATATTTCAATCTATTCCTCGTCTTCGTATGGATGAGACTAAAAGTACTCCAATTACGTTCACAGTGAGATGATGTGGTGGTTTGACTTAATACTTTCACAGCTATTTTTTGAAGTTCAGGAGCACAACTGCCATGAATAACCCACCACTCAGCTGCACAAAATTGCATTACATTAGACATAAGTCAAAATATGATAAAAAAATTATTTAAGTATTTATATATTGTAAATTTGTAATTTTGAAAATAAAACCTGGATTTGATTGTTTCCATGCTCTTTGTGCTAAAGGAGTGCCAAAAGTTTCCTGTTTATCTCAAAACAGCAACAACTACAATTTGGACAATCATTACAAGTAACATTTGCAAAAGTAGATTATTACTATTAAAATTTAAATAATTGGTACGTACTTGATTTGTTGCTTTCACTTGAGCATCCATATTAGGCTCCAGTCTGGTAATTACTTTTTTAAGTCCATCCATCACTTCTCTTATCATTTCATTGGATGAGGTAACACCATATTGGAATTGAGGATTTAAAAAATATCCATCAAAAATAAGAAGACAATTAATAATTGTAAATAAATATACATTTTATAATTGAAATCGTAACACTTACCAGCTGCATGTAAATCTTGATGCAATTGAAAAGACCATCGAGTATCAATAATTTTCCAATACTCGGTGTAGTAGCGGCAATCTCTTTTAATTGCCAACTTTGCTCTATCTATAGCTTCATATATAAAACCCATCGTTGGTTTCTCATCCCCATCAACCAACCTCAATACTCTGACTAGGAGCTCATGAACTTTACAAAGCTCTATTGCTTTCTGCCAAAACTCCTTTCCCAAAATAATTTTTTTCACATTGTAAGGCTGTCCAGTCTTTGCCTTCCCCTATCTAGAATTCTTCCACTCATCACTATTAAACATAGCTCTCAATTGTTGTTTATATCTAACAATACTCTCAATGGCAATAAAATTTGTAGCAAATTGAGTGATGGCAGGTCAAATCAATTCTCTATCTCCAGTGAATTTTCTCATTAAATCTAACACCCATCCACTATTATAAATGAAATTGGTGATGGTTTTACCATCTTCAATCACCTTTGCTACACTTTTCTTATTGGCTATGTCTTTTAGCATGAGATCGATACAATGTGCTGAACAAGCTGTCCAATATAAATGTTTCCTTTTTCTCATTAACATTTTACTTGCAGCTTTCAATGCAGGTTCATTATCAGTTACCACTTGAACAACGTATTGTTCTCCAATTTCATCAACAACTTTATCTAACAACCCAAAATAATATTCAGCAGTCCTACTAATAATATTAGAGGCATCAATCGATTTGTGAAATATAGTACTTCTATTGTAGTACACTAAGAAGTTGATGATGTGTTGCCGAGTTAGACTGCTCCAACCATCACACATGATGGATACACCTCTCTCTGCCCAAATTCCCTTAAATGATGCTATCCATTTTGTCATTTCATTATGCTCCATGCCTAAATATACTTCAGAAACTTCATAAGCACTAGGACCTTTTACTCCTGGCCCTACTTCAGCAACAACATCAAGCATGGGTTGTGTATACTCTGAATCAACTGCATTGAATGGAATACGATTATAGAGTATAAACTTGGACACTGCCCGTCCCAATCTCTCTTTTAACTTCTGTAAATTCATTGTAGAGATTTTCCGTTACTTTGTACTCTTGCTCTTTTGGAGTTCTACATCCATTGCTCTCAACCTTGTTTCAGGAGCATTGGGCTTAATCCAATTACGTCCACTCCCACCAGTTTCATGCACGGATTGTGATCGACAAAAACATTAGCAATACCTGACCCTTTTGGCAATCTTTGACTACTACCCCATGCACCAGAACTACCACCTGCATCGTATTGTGATCCATGACCTGCAACACCTTGTCTAAATTGTTGCATTTCCTCCCATTTTTGTTGTGAACGAATACTTGCTTGTCTAGCCCTAGTCATCTCTGGATCAGAGTCAGAGTCATCATCTCGAAGATCTACAAAATCTCCCCCTTCATCCTCATCATAAAGATCATCTCCCCTAATATGTGCTTCCAATTCAGCTTTTCTCTTTTGTTTGTCTGCTTTACTCATTTTCTTATTTTGTAAATGTTTCATCATTTCTTGCATCACGTCTCTACTAACATTAGGACAAGAATGCACTTGCCCCGTTTGATGTGCTAAATGTTGTTTAAAACGCGTAATCCCACCTTTAATATGATGTCCACAAAATTTGCAAATAATATGATGCCTAGTGCCTTCAGCTTGAGTTCCAAATTTCCAACCAATATCATCACTTGGGGGTTCATCATTGGCACCCTTTTGTCGTGGCATTTTTGAATTTGAATTCTGCATTACAAAAAATAAAAAATAAAAAAATTCAACCCCTATTTATTGTCACAACACATTACAATAACAAATTTCGTCATTAAAAAAAAAAAAAATTTTGTTGTCACAACACATTACAATAACAAAATAGAATTTCTTTATAATTAAATGTTAAATGAAATGATTATAAAAAAAATTCAACCACTATTTATACATTTGGATTTTACATGCTAATGTAATTAGGAATAAAGACATTTCTCATGACATTGTTTGAGCTATTGTTTTTATTTTTATTTTTTTATTTTATAGAAAGATATTTTTTTTAAGCCAACAACGGTGGGGCCCAGAAGAAGGAGACTCGTTCTCTCTCTCTCTCTCTCTCTCTCTCTCTCTCTCTCTCTCTTTCTCTCTCTCTCTATGCTTCTTCTCCCTCCTACTCCGGCTGGTTCGGGCATGTGTGTTTTCAAGGATGACGAAAGAGATTGAAGGAGACAAGTGCCATTTACAGGGAAACACACTATTGGGTCTAGTTGGGGTATGGGTTTTTCTTGATCTTGCAGTTGGAGGTGGTGGTGTTGCAGCATTTTATGACTCTCCCTCTCTTTCTATCTCAGTCTTGTCTGATAGTTTGTGGATTATGGTGTGTGGGCAACATCATAATTCGGTACCATTTGCATTTTTTGTTAAATAAATAAATTTGAAGGACAGCCCTAGGGCTTTGTTTTAGTCGTGTTGGATTTTACAACACACATTTTTTTTTTCAGAATTATATTTATTGAGATTTAAAATAAATTTTAATAAATTTTTGTTAATTTTAAGTATGATTCAATATATATTTTTTTAAATTACTATAAAATAAGTTTTTTACATCTTATTTCAAAAGTAAATGACTTTAAAAATAATTGATTTTAAATATTTACAAATTATTTTTAATCAACACTTGAATTATTTTTGACCAATAAAGAAAAATTATTTTTGAACTACTAATTTTATTTATTTTTTAAAGACATTTTTTAGACAACACATTAATTTTAAAAAAATATTAAATAAAATGATTATAAAAATAAATGCAACCACTGTTTATATATATAAATATATATATTATTTTACATGTTAATGTAATGAAATAAATTTTAAAAAAAACTTATAAAGAAAAAAAGTTCATACATGGTTGTTTTTTGGGTTTCAATCACTTGAATATTTGTTATCTTTTTGAATAACCTGCAAGAAAAAAAAAATCAATGAAAACTGATATATATAAAATGTATTAATATAATTATAGGTGTTATGATTTTTAGATATTATAAAAAAAATCAATCACTAATTATTATATATAAAATACTAAAAATAAGTACATAGCTCTATATATATATTTAAATTAAAATTATTAAATATATCATATAAATTTTATAGATTTTACAAAATTTAAAGCCTGTGATCATTGTTGAAAAAAAATAAAAATAAAATAAAATAAAATAAAACAAATGCATCTTCCCAAGGTGAAGTCAACGATATACACGGTTTGATAAAGAAAGGGGGCTTATCTTCCCCACGAAGCTAAGCTACTGAGCAAACAAAATTTGATAAAGAAAGACAAGGCAACAAATCAAATTTTGAACTTACTTCGTCTTCCACACAAAGCGGCAGTCACTGGTTTCAACAGCCTTGAAGATTCAACACGAGTTCATCTTTTCCATCTTCCCTCTTCCCTCTTCTCTCTTCTCTCTCTCTATTTCTCACTCATCCGTATTTTAGATCAGATCTGAAAATTTGTGGAATCTCACTTCAATTCAAAGTGGTTCATAGGCCGTAAAGACAACCGACAAAAGCTCCATTATAATAAAGGTGCGTAACGTGCCTTTTCTTTTTCTTTTTTTTTTGAAAATTTGTGGATGTCCGATACAATATGGAATCTATCTTCAGCCTTTTTCTTTTGTTTTTTTTTTTTTGTGAAAAGAATAAGCTAAAGAAGCCCTGTAACGTGCGTAATGGGCCGTTACGGCCGTTACATCACCATTACGACCGCTACGACGGCCGTAACGGCCGATACACTTATGAATTTCAATCACACCGCAAAATCGGGGGTAACGTGTAGTGCCTACAGCCGAAACCGTTACGTAACGGCCGAAACCGTTACGTAACACCGCATTTTTAAACCTTGACTGAGGGAAATACCTATCAGCCCTCACATACGCACCAGACATCATCCAGGCAAACGGAGTTGCCTAGATCGTCCGACTTACGGACTGTGCTAGAAGAAAGGGCACGACGGAAGAAAGATGCCAGGGCACGCAACCCACACAGAATTTCAGCCCTTCAGCGGTTGGCTTCTCGAACGCATGGAAGCGTCGAGGTAGGAATGCCAATACCGCACCTTGCCTACGAACCAACGGATAAAGCATTGGCAAGGCTACATAGCTCGCCGTTCGTTCCGGCGATTGAGAGCGCACCCTTACTTTCAGGCTT